CTAGCACATACATAATATCTGCTCACCTACCTTTGCATTACAGTGAATGAGATATAAATAATGGAGCAATATTTATTTTTCCAAAAAAATAAAGACAGAACTAGAATTTTGCAAGGTTGTCTCAGAGCTGCCAGATTATACAGAAGAGTGGACTTATCCCCTCCTCCCCACCCCAAAGTGGCTTATGCCTCTTTTCCTGTCCCCCATCTCAGCTCCCACCTCCAGTGCTTTAATTTTTTTTTCTTGCCTTCAGTGTTGTTTACTACATACTGTACTTCATTTATATGAATAAGTACATACACTTCACTTAATCACATAACACAAAACAGGTTTCAGTTGGCTGCCTATTAATTACACTGTTACACACTCTGGCTATATTCATGTTACAGTGATTCTCAACCAGTGTGGTGTAGCACCCTGGTTTGCAGTGAGACCCTTAAGGCTAGGGACAGACATTACATATAAACTGGTTTAAGTGATCAGAAACTGGTTTAAACCTGTAACAGAACAGATGTTCAGTGCACATAAACCAGTTTGAAAATGCCTGAAACTGGTTTGACAAATCTGGTTGAATGTAGTATCAGACTTAACTGATTTGGGTCAAACCAGTTTAGGCAATGTTTGTCCCAGAGCCCTTGCTCATTTAAGATACACCAGACTCCTCCAGCATCCTGGCATGCTCTCTGGGCTGGGTGGGGCTCTCTGTTCCACAGCAGAGCTGTCCCCTCCCCTCTGCTCCCTGGCTGGAGCTCCAGCAGAGACTGCAGATGTCTGTCTGGCTTCTCCCTGCTAAACAGGGATTATTCCCCCTGCCCGTCTGCTTTACACAGACGCCTCTCAGCATTAGCTAATAGACCACATGCTGGCTACAGTCCGTGCTGTGGGAGATGACACAGGCAGACAGGTTTTTTGGAGCTAATCAACAGGTAGCTGGTAATGTCCTTCCTTGGAAAAGCTGTTTAAGAAAGCTTGAAGTACTGGAGAGAGGCTTTGTTTTCTTAATGGGCTGATAAACACTGAGGTAGGGGTAATAAACATTCCCTGCTGGGCTGCTGGGGGGAGGGGGGGGGGAAAGAAGCGAGGGTGTGGGGGGAGGGGGGGGGGGAAAGAAGCGAGGGGCTCTCAGCTCAGTTCTGTGGCAGGGATGGGAGAGCTGCTCTAGCACCCTCTAGCTTCTAGCCTGAGTCACTGAAGTCATGTGCCTGAGTTTTTTCAGTCCAGAGAGGATGTTTGTACACTTACAAACTGGTTTAGCCTAGCCAGGTTAGACTAACCTGCAAAGATTGAATCAATTCAGGCTCAGGCTTTTTCAATGTTTGTCCCTAGCCTAAAGGCTGCAGGATGCCACACTATAGCACCGCTGCATGTACAAATATCTACACATAATTCATAGAATAAGCCCATAGATTTCAAGCAGGAATCCAGTGTCAAAAACATTCTAATTTCTTGTGGTCTTTCTGAGTTCTTTACAACAGAATTGCCCTTTTACTTTTCTGTAATCAAAAAAAAATGAGAGAAAGCTAAGAGTGGGCATTTTCAGGAGAGTGCCTTGAGACTGAGGTTGAGAACAACTCACATATTAATTAAGTGCATAAAATGCTTATGTGCATAGCATTTTTCAGCCACACTACAGTTTAACTGTACTGCAGTTAAGGGCACACTAACTCTAACTTTCTACCTTGTAACTAACTATTCTTTGTATCGGTGCCTCATAAACAGTGACATGGAAATCAGCTATCAAGGGCTGCTATCAGAAAACTCAGAAAGGACAGGAGTTAATCAGTTTTATGGCTGCTCTCTCCCCTTATTTTCAAAGCTTCTGTTAACTGCCCTGAACCTGATTTTTAGAACAACTATTATTATATCAATGATTATCAAAAGTATTGAAAACTAGGGAGGAGCTAATCAGTTTTGGAACTACTAATATTACAACACTGAGAGGACTGTGCATGTAAGAATTGTTTATATTTAGTTCAGATAAGTACATAGTCCTTTTTCAGTCCCAAATATACTGTATACTGTATTTAGACATACAGATTATAACAACTCTAATTTCCCCATGTTTCACTGAAGGACTCACTGGGAGTTTCAAAAGACAAACTGGTCACAGTCACATGATAACTGAGACTGAAGAGGCTTACTGTTCTCAAAATGGCTGTCACTGAATTTAGAGATGTTAGTACAGAAAATAAGAAGAAAAATCCTTTCAGCCTCTATATTTATCATACTTCATGTGTTTTTATTTAGCTAAGCCATTGCACTTGACTAATACAGACACGGTCAAAGCAGCAACGAAAAAAAAGGAGCCCAATGGTAACCCTATGAAGGACGCTTTTGAAATAGTACTATCGAGTGACACACACTTTGAGAGTAGTTAATGCACATTTTATGTCAGTGGTGCTGAATCTTTATGGCCAGCAGGCTGGATGGACAGCACCTAGGCTGTCCATAGGCTGGATCAAGCTGGTGATCCTGGTCTGGCAACAGTGATGGATGTAGCAGGGACCCATTTGGCCATGTGGGAGGAAAGGGAAGGAGGGCAGGCTGGCCCCAAACTGGCCGCACACAGGGGGACAAGGCATGGCCAGGCTCCGATCCAGCTGCAGGGGGAAGGGGCATGGCTGCATGATCTAGCCTGGGGGAGGGCAAGGGTATGGCCCGGCCCCAACCCATCCATGCAGAAGGAATGGGGCATGGCCTGACCCCAACTTGGCCCTGAGGGGTTTGCGAATTTGGCAGCCAGGGAGGGTGGCCATGCTAATTGCCACTGCTCCCCTGCCACTAAATTATGGACCTGTGGGAAGCCCTGTGGGTAGGATACCATGATTCTCTTTGTTGCATTTAGCCTGCAGGCTGGAGGGTGAGCACCCCTGTTTTATGCAATTAATTTAAAAAAAACTGAAGGAATAATTAAGAATCACAGTCACTTGAGTGTAATCCTTAAACGGAAGCTTTCCACAAAACCTCGTGACTTCTTTATCTTCCAACACAGAGACAACCTATATTTTCAAGCTTTAGAGAATGACAATAGCTTTAAATTAAATAAAACCTTTAATTAATTATCCCTCCATACAATTACATTTTAAAACAGGTTCACTGACTTCTTATTTGCTTGCTTTTAAGCACCCACCTGCTACACTTCAGAAATGAATTTAGCAGAAAAGTAAGGAAGAGACAAACTAGCAGGAAGCAAAACAGACAAAATGATTTGCAGCTTCTCACAACAGCAGCAGCATGTTTGATTATGGTGGAGAGCAGAGATGAATAACTATCTGCCTACTTTTATTGTAATACCAGACTAGAAATATAGTTGGTATTTTTACTTCACCAAACTAGAAATATAGCAGAGAAAGAAAAAAAGTAGGATTAGGAGAGAAAAAGAGGTAGAAGGACACTTAGACCAGACTGAGATAATAGGGAAATAAAGTGGACAGATGAACTGAAGTTGTCAACATAAAGAAATGTGCATGTGGAAGAGCCATGAGACATAATGGAGACATTCGGAAAGTTTTTATTTTCTACTTTTCTACTTGTGACTAGGCCCAAGTAAAAAACTCCCAATGATCAAAACCTCAGATGTGATGCACTGTCTAAATCTGTGATGACAATACAAAAAACAGTTGTGTTGCATAAAGCATTTTCTGTAAGTTCTGTTTCAAGAATCTGTACTTCTGATTCACGTACTTTATGAGGAGAGAGAGACAGAAAGAACACCGAGTGGGAAGAATACAGACTTAATATAAATTTAGTAATGCTTATTAGTGCTTGAGAGATGTCTTTTAAGCTTAAAGTCTTACTAACCTCCCTTTTTGTGACAGTAAGCTTACATTTGATCAGGTTATTCTCCTTTATTTCTTTAACTTGCCAGCTATACACTGACAAGCCAGCCAAAGCTAAAATATGGGACACTTCAGTATTAAGGCAGGATAGTTGTTAATGAAAGAAGATGAATTCTTTTTGCATAAAAAAAATATTTGCTTTAACTTCCATTTCAAATTTTTCACATTTCATATTTAGATAAAGTTAGTTAAATTTTTAGATCACATTTGACAGAAAACAGATAAATACTGATCTAGGATGAAAATGTTTCCAGCGATGAACATTTGAGAAGTAGTGACAACGTATCTACTTGGTTGAGGAAACATTTCTCCCAACAATATTTTGTTGAAAGTGGTTTCAAAATGTCATCTACTCATTAGACTAAAGAAAACACCTACCACATAAACCCTACTGAAGCTAAAAGGAAATCATCATTCACATTTATTTTGCAGCGGCCTCCCCCACAGAATTTCACTTCTGTTTGGTTCATATGATTTGGTCTAACTCAGCATACCAAACAGGGCTACTTTGCCAGATCTTACTCTAATACTGGATGCCTACCATCTGGATAGCTTTACAATCGCTTATCTTTAGGGACCTACCAAAGTTGAGACAGCTGCTGGCCAATTTTGCAGACAAACCCCAGGGCTGGCAGCCATTTTTGCCCCTCATGCCTCCGATTGGTCTTGGGGCCTCAGCAGTCATGCCCCTTGCTGCTGATTGGCTGCAAGGGCTATCAGCATGACCCCACCTTTCCCCACCAACTGGCTGCAAGGACTGTCTGTCATGTGATCCCACGCCTCACCTCTAATCAGTGGTGAGGGGGCAGCAACCAACCTGCCATGCCAGCAGCCCTCCACCACCCTTCCCCTTGGCGGGCTGCGTGGCCAGGCTGCAGCGACCACAAGGTCTGCTGGCTCCCCAGAGCAGCAGCATTTTATTTTTGGTGATTTTTTTTTTGTTTCAGGGAGCTTGTCAAAAGCAAGAAAGGACCCCACACTTTTTTGCAGAGCCTGCCCAAAATCATGGTTTCTGCAAAAATTGCAAAAATCATGATTTTGGTCTGTCTTTACTTATCCTTTAACAGCTGCTTAACTCTGGAAACATTTTAACAGTAATATCACTGAATTAAAAAATTCTGCTTCATGGCACATTTAAGGAAGTCATTAAACTGATTGTACCTGCTTAGCAAAAAATATTGTATCCAATCTGGAATCCTGAACAACAGAGCCTGCTGGTTCTTCTCCTGGCTGCCACTTGAAAAGGAAGATCAGCCCATGTACTGGTCTATAAAATAAAAGTCAAAACAAAAAGTGAGATGAAGAATAGTACAAAGAATAGTACAGATTATTTCTAAGGTAACTGCACACTCAACTAAGGCAAAACAACTTAGCTAATTTGTTCTTCCTAAACAGGCCATTAAGCTCAGGCTTTCAGAAGTGCTCCCTAAATTAGAATGACCAAACTTTTCGACTGATTTGCAGAGGTGCCACCTGTAAATTTAGCTAGAGTTAGTGCTTAACTGGCACTTCTGATAAGCATGGATCCTGGTTTCCCATGATATAAAAATAAATAAATAAATAAAAAATAAACAAAAACAAACAGAAATTCTCCGATAAAAACCTCAAAATCCATGGTTAAAATTAAATGACCCCCACAGCCCTGCTGGTGTCCCACACTTCCCACCCCGCCAGCTCCCCAGCCCTGCTTGTGCCCCTTGCCCCCTACCCACAGCCCCTGCCCCCACAGTCCTGCCAGAGGGGGTGCCAGCTGCCTTGGCGATGGGGCCAGGCACCCAGGTCCACAGCCTCCTGCCCTCAATGGAAGGCAGCGGCTGCTGCAGCAAGAGCACAAGCTGGCTCCTCCACTGCTGCTGCTTGCTGTGGGCTCAGGCAGGGCTGGCTCCTGACAGCAGCGTGAGCTCCCGGGGTGCAGGGGGGAAACCATGCCCCCCAGATCTGTTTGGGAGGTGGGGGCAGGGTGGGTACAGGCTGCGGGCTCGCGCTCCCCACCCTGCTGCCCTCCTCCAGGCCCTCTAGAGCGCAGCGTGTGCAACCTGGCGCAGCAGCGCACAGGGGGGACACAAACGAAAGCTGCCTGCCACTGTGAGCTCCATGCTGCCCTGGCCACCTTCCCCTGCATGCGGGGGCAGCAGTGGGGAGCGCAACCCTGTGCTGCCCCTATGCACAAAGAGGAAGCGTGGCCAGGGCAGCGCAGCGTTTGCAGCAGCAAGCAGCTTTCCTGTGTCGCCCCGCTGTGCTCTGCCATGCCAGTCACACACGCTGTGCTCCGGAGGGCCTGGGGGAGGGCAGCAGGGCAAGGAGCACAGTGTTTGTGACCCTGGGTATGCAGCCAGCTGGACCCTGGGGGGTGGGGGGTTTGCAGCCTCCCCATTCCCAGCCATAGTGCCCGGCTGGCTGCAAGCCCCACCTCCTGGCCAGAGAGTGCCCAAGCTAGTTGAGAGAGCAGAGGGGGAGAAGCAGCTGTAGCTGGCCAGGCACTCTGGGGTGGGGGAGGTTTCCAATCCCCCGGGCACTTGGGTCAGGAAGCGGGGTGGGGATTGCAGCCTCTCCACTCCCTCAGCCCCCAACCAGCTTGGGCACTCCCTGGCAGGGCAATCCGGCCAGAAGGGGGGATTTGCAGCCAGTCGGGAATGGGGAGGCTGCAAATCCCATCCCAGCCAGCCTGCAGAGCTCTTTGCAAAAGGGGGAAATCCGTGCGTTTCTCTTCTAAAAGGGAAAATCTGCATTTTCTCTGATAGAGACTAGGAAATCCATGGTTTTTTCTGTTTTTCCATGGGAAACTTAAAAGCTGGATCCCTCCTGATCAGTCACTGCTTGTCCTGTGGTTCAGCTGGTAAACCAAGGTGTTACTCTGATTGAATTCTAATATACATTTGGTCAGTGAGGATACAGAAATCAAGCATGCACTAAACCTCACAAAAAAAGGTTTAAAACACTGCTAGGCTTCTCTTACCCACAGTTCCACCAGTAGTACACGCAATCTTCAGATGCCCGCATGGGTGTTTTTGTAACTAAAGCAGCCAACTCTCACAACGTGCCCCTTCCCTCGCCCCTCCCCTTCCACCACAATAGACTTACCAACTGCACACGGCTCTCCAAGCTGCCGGGCTGCACTCCTCACTGCCTACATGCTATGCTGCAATTTTGCGCATGCACGGGCATTTATGGGCCAAATTATCAGCCACATAAGGTCAATTTCTGATATACTCAATTTTCTTTGTATCAGTGCCGACCCGATATCAGACCAATGCATCGGTGCACATCTACCTAAAGGAACCGTGAATTTACTGTATTTAATGCTATACTATTTAATGTGCTATTATGACCTTGTATGTGACCTAGTCATATAGTTATATTGAACTTTCCTCTACAAATGTATTGGTTAAGTTTATCAGAAGGATGATAATGGCTCTTTATAAGCAGGTTCCTGAACACTTACAAGACAGCATCTTCACTGTTGTTTGGCCACTATTTCCTGACAAAGTTACACAGCTCTTTTGACAATGATGGCAACCCAGAGAGCAGGGGACTTAAATGTTAAACATTTAAAGTGTTAAATGCACATTGGAGAGTGGACCTTGAAGTGAGCCATGCATGCAGGTACAAACTGACAGGACACAAAAGGAAGTTTGGTAGGCATAAGCAAAGTAGTTGGGACCTTCTATAGTCCCAGTGTGGCAAGCCTTACAACATGCAGAGAAACTAAACTGTCCAATTAAAACAAAGTAAATAAATACAGCTGTTTCCCTTAAGAACGCTGCCTGGTTACAAACTCCTTTGCCACTCCTGCCCAAGACCCAGTTTAGAACCAAAACTGTGCAATCCCACCTTGGCAAGTGACAGCCAAAAGTCTGAGAAAGAGTACCATTAAAAAGACTCAGAGAGGACAAGGGATGCAGCTGCCCTAAGAACTACAACACACTTTGAATATTTAGACCCAGAGTCTAATGCTTCTTAAGAATGAGTCACAAAAACCAGAACAACCCTTCCTAATTTTGCATTAACATTGTATTAGGGATTCCAGCAGGATGGAAAAAGATCATAGTTAGGTGCCTGGTTATTTACTTGCCTAACAGGTCAAATACAATTCAGCAATTAATGTTTTAAGAATATAATTTTTCCCACGTGTACTAGGATTTTAAGACATGTACAAAACACAAGATAAACAAATTTGTTTGATCTTTACTATATTATCATCAGGAGGGCTTGCACACTGCTCTGTTCTGAGGCACTAGAGTATTAAGTCTCAGCTACATACGCTCTAAAAGCTTTCTGTTACCTACATAAAAAAGTTACAAAGTATGGCTCCTATCCTGTAATTGGCCATATGTAGGCAGACTTAAGTCTACCAGGAGCCCCACTAAAGGTAATATTGCTCCATGGGCATACTAGCCTATCCATGCCTAATCAGTTGCTGGGTAATGATCTAAATGAAGTTTGCCACGAAAGCTTAAATAGGGTTGGTTATTCTTGAAAGACTCAGATCTTACTCGATTCAAAAGACAAATCTCACTGAGATACCCTATGTTCTATTCTGTATTTGATATTCTTCACTCGAAACTACCTTCTGTTCTCCTCGACAACCCCTTCTAGGATGATCTCTACAATAGCCCATTGATGGGTTTTGAGAAGCCTTAAGACCTGCCACTCTACTTCCCAAAAATAAGGGAACAGCTGTTAAATGAAATCACTTGCCTGTTACATTAATAGGATTCAATACAACCTGCACTGACTCCAAAATAAAGACTCCCACAGGCTTCAGTGGGAGTTAGCTTGTGCAGTATATAACCTAAGAGTATACAAATTCTAGTGAAAGATAAGGAACTTCTCAGTCAATCCTCCATTTTCTGTAGATAAAAGTATTTCTAATCTATATTTTACTGAACATATGAAAATAGAAACAAAAATAAAGCAATACTCAAACTGCTAGGAGGTCCACAATATACCTGAAACATTTAGTTGTCATAAAGTGAAGGCTCTAAATAAATTTCACTCATTAAAAACACTTTAAATAAAAGTTAGATGTGACAATGTTAAATGTGAAGAATCTCATGAATGCAGGGGATAAGCAAATATTTTAGGCCCTGACTAGGAAACATAAATAAGTCACAAATTTCCCCAGATACTGGGCCCACTGCAGTCCCAACGGTGCCTATACTCCAAGGGTTAAGAGCAGTTGTGAACACTTATATTAAAGTTAAAATACTAGAGAAAGTAAATGGGGAAATGACTAGATACCAAACTGGCCACAATATGAGGTTACAGAAATTTAATCCAAAGAGAATGGGAAAGCAAAGCAAAGCTGTTCTCTCATGAGTAACAGCTACTATTCTGGGTATTTTTTTAAAATAAAAGTTCAACCTACAGAGATAGCTGATGGCAACATCTACTATCTCTGTAGTCACATATTGGTGATTCCTAGTAACAAAAGACTGCTAAATTAATTTGTAATCAAACAGCACTTCAAGTTATAAATTGTGTACTTCATATATTCTGGAACATTAATTATATAAATGTAGATAGTTACACAGGAAGTAAAAGGGACTTGCATTTGATAACCGTAACTGCTTGTAGATATTAAAACAACGAAAAATAACAAAACACACTGGCACTTTACTTTAAACTCCATGCGCTCCTGTGCCAAGCTCAGTGCATTCCCAAGAGAGGCAGCGCATTAGGTGGACCCAGCTCACCTAGAGTCTGTATAGCTCAGACGCTATAGTGGAGCTTTTTTGGTGCTTTTATCTAACAGCTGATTGACTCAGCTTTAGATAAAAGTGCCCAAAAGCCCCACAGAAGCACACGATCTATAAAGACGTTGTAGAGCCAGATCAAAGCAACACATTGCTGCTTCTGGTAAAATGTTTTTTTGTTTGTTTGGTTTTAAAGGTCTCCAACCATCCTATTTCCTTTCAAGCTGCTATACATGAATAAATACAATGCTCTTCGTTCATCATATGGATGGAATGGCAAAGTACTTAGCGTTTCCAGTAAGAGCAGGTTACAGCAGTCCAAAACAAGACATGACAAGAAACAGAGAGGTTAAGCAACTTTTGCTTACAGACAGATCTAAGAGATTCCTTATCTAGCCACTGAACCACACAATTCTTATAAAGAAGGCTTTGTTGAAAAGCTAGCTTAAACAATCTAAAGATCCTACTAAAAGGCTGTAAATTTCATGTGCGATGATAATATGCTGATAAACTGCTGCTGAAACAGGTAATAATGTAGCATATTGCTATTGGTCTAATACAATTCTTTCATTCATGCAAGGAGCTTAGAACAATTCGTTCATTTATGAAAGGAGCTCAGAACAAACAAATATGCTTTACAGAGATTGCTAGAGATAAAAAACAGACTGGAAAAGCCACATTGCTTTTCTACGTCTAATAACTTACTTCAATTTTTCAAAGTTCTCAGGCTCCAAACTCCATATTTCTTCAACTTGTGCTCCTCTGCAACCTAGAAGAGCAAAGATACATGTTCCTTTACTTACCTTAATTCAAAAGGATACTATCATGAAAAAGGCACACAACTACAAGTGATAATGTAGAAAGAGTGGAGGAGAGTCTTTTTTCATATATTGTCTTTTGACAATAAAAAAAAAAAGTTGTTACTATCACCAGTTGTCCCTGATTTCCAGATGTTTCAGTCTTTATATAGAGAGAGACCCTGTGAATGTAAAACCAC